TCTTTGGACTTGTTACTTATACGTATTTTAGCTTACAAAGAGTTCTAATTTAATTAGAATATGACAAACATTTCAAAATTTCTCTTATTTAAACTTCTGATGTCTCCTGATGAAATTTAAGCAACTTAAAACGAGTTGTAATCGGTAACGTATTGATTGTAACTCATTTCATGTTGCTTAAATTACAAACGGCGTATAATTAGTTCCAATTTTACGAGACACTACAAATGCGTTTCAACGTATAGGTTCAATAGATTATTATATGGACAACTGCCGTACCGTCGGGGAAACGCATATGCTAGCGTGGTATTTAAACATGTAAAATATCTGAAAGAATAGTATATATAGTAAAGTCATTAGTTCAAAATGTCTGATATAGTGTTATAAAACGTATAAACGTGGCGACTGTGTAACTTAGCATTCATTTCTTGATTAGATGAAGTATTATTGTTATTATTTGTTTTTTTATTACATTTGCTTTACATTCATTCATTGATGATTAAAATCAGTATTGTTATAATTTTAAGACAATATAGTAAAGTAAAATATTATTATTTAAACAAGCGTAGGTAATCATAAATTATCATTGCCGTACTATTCTGAATTCCAATAATCAAAACATCCAACAGTTAATTGTGTAACTTTAGGTAATCGAGAAGCAAAATTCGAGGAAAATGAATATCTTTTCCAAAAATAAAATTGCGAAAATATTTACTGTGAATTCAGTTCGTATGATAATTCAAGAGTTACACCCGCATTTCAAAACAAGGTTACTTGATGTTGCGTCATTCGTGACAAGTTTGACATGCCTACCCGATAACCTCCGGGTGATCTTGAAGTAGGAAAGAATCTAGAGTTAGGAAGAATAATGCAGAACCATGAGCAATAAGAATCAGTTCATGGTTCAAAGAAATAACAAGACAAAATCAACAAACCTGAAGTTTTACTGAAATCTTTATTGAAAATATTTAAGCATATTTAAGTTTGAATTTTATCATATATGAGTTAGAGTATTTATTTTTATGTGTCTGAAGGTTGAACGGGTGTTTTTATTACAGTTTGACAAAAGTGACAAAACTAAAATATAGTGCATAAAGTCACTGTATACCGAACATTTTGATGTAATTCACGATATTAGGATAATATCAGGAGTTTTTTGGGGGAATCGCCCAGCGAGTTAGGCATTTTTACTTCCTTGAGCAAAGTAAAAAAAGTATTGTAATCAAAAAAAAAAAAAAAAATCGGGTATTATATTTTAGTGGAATCATCCATTTTGGCTGAACGATTATTTTTGCGTGACGTCTGTACATACGGACAAATTAAAAGACTTTTTTTGGTCAAAAAAGGATTGTAAAATGAATTTAAAAAGGACTTTTTTGTGACGTCTGCATATATGTATATATCTCGCATAACTCAAAAACGATTATTGCAATCGGCATTAAGAAACGTGTGTGCGTCTATATATAATATATATATATATATATATCACACACACACACACACACACACATATATATATATATACACTCACAACCATCCCTTTACCCAGTTTAAACATCCTTACCCGGCCTTTATTTTCGTAATCGTGCGTTGTCGTCATATACTTCCAATTTCAGAAGTGTTTTGATGAGTTTCGGAAATATCAAAATCAAATGAAATTATCTTTAGGTAAATAACGAAATCTAACTTTTAATACGATTTCTCGGTTCCTAAAACTAAATTAGGAAACCTTTGAAACTCGTTATGAAAAAATGAAATTATAAGAAGTTTGACTCCAGTACGATAAAAATTGACCATGACATTTAATTTCAAAATTTGCAATTTTTGATGTCGTTTACAACGTGCCTTGTGGGATAGTTAATTAAGTTAGAATGATTCGAGGAAATAAGTTTAAATGAAGCGCAGAAAAAGTGTATACAGTACAAAGTCCGTAATCCGGACGTCCATTATCCGGAACGATTTAAATCCGGACCTCAAAGCCACAAACCTTTTTTTTTTTTTTTTTTTGGTATGCTTTACGCATGCGCGTTTAATGTATAACGGGCGGTATAAGCTAGAATACAATTATCTTTACTGATTCTAAGGCATGTTGCAGATTGCGCTGTTCCTTAATCTTTAAATTGGATCCGGCTTATTATTTTTTGCAGACTGTTAGAGCAATTTTATAAAAATTAAGCTTGAACGTTCGATTATGTCAAAAAGAGTTCCCAATTCTGGAACTGCTAAAGGATCTACAAAGCGAAACCATGTTTCGATGTCCAGCAAACAAAGTGGAATTGCTGCAAAAAATGGATAAAGGCATATTGTCTCAAAATTGTGCGAGGAGTATGGCATTGTATGACACAAGAAAAAAGGAAAAGGAACTTTTTGAATTTTTTGTGGAAGCATCTTAAACAACTTACCTTGAAAGAAATGTTTAATAAAGTAAAGAAATAAATATTAAGCTTTTTTCTGTGCGTAAATTTGGATACCCTTTAGATCATAATTGCTCTTTATTTCATAAATTACTGTTTCATATTTTAAATTGTATAATTTCTGCATGCCATCTTACCAGATTTAAATGATCTATAATCCGGAAAAAACCCTAATCCGGAATCGCCGAAGTCTCGATGAGTCCGGATTACGGGCTTTGTACTTTATAATTTACTATGCCGTACAAAGAAGTCATGACACTCTTTCTTGTATACTTATACACAGGCCTTGTATGCCCATATAATATTTATATTTTTATACGGAAGAAATAATCCCTTCTGCCAGGATGATTATTAACACTGTAAGATTTTTACAACAAAGTCAGGTCAGTGGCGCTCAGAATATTTCTTGTAATAAAATTACTTCTTTATTTAAACGCAGCATTAAAACAATTAATAACATTTAAATAAGTGTAAATTTAAGTACTTCGTTAAAATAAGCGAAACAGCAATATAATCGATGAAAAAAGTATCGATTTACGTATCCAGGTATCCAGCTTTAAGTATCGCTGATGAAAAATATTATGCACATTTCGAGACAATTCATCAGCAGCAGACAAATGACTGAGCTAAAATCAAGATCTAAAGTTTCGAGAAAAGGTGACGCACTATCATTATGAGAAAGCTAACTGTCAGTCCCAAAGGAAAGCAGGGACTAGTAAACAATTAAGGTTTTCAAAACCAAGAAAAGTGTTAATAAACTGCAATACGAATCATTTAATGGAACGATTTCTATGTGTATTGGGATTCTGGATAGAAGATGGTATTCCTTTTCCTACTGTAGGATTTTTTTCATCCACAACAAGCATAAACTTGTGCAACAAGCATAAAACATTAAGCATAAATTACGATATACAGGCTGTTCGTACATTTTTAGACGATTTTTATTACATTTAGAGAAATATTTTACTTCTCTAATACAACAAAAAAATTTTAAATTTTTTTGTTTTAAATGTTCCATTTGATAACCCTTATTCTTCACTAGCATTCGACACCGTTATTTGAGTTGTAGGTCGACATTTTGACTATTTGCTTTTTTAAAGTCCAAAAGCGCAAAAATCTATGGATGATACACATCATCAGATTTCGTAGGGATATGAATGAAGCGTATGGCTTTGATACACGTTCATTTTCCATTTTCCCCATAAAATAAACAGTGGATTTTGACGTGCGGCTGCTTGCTATGTCTTGACGCAGCTCTACCGATTCATGGCAGTTTGGATAAAGATAAGCTATTTCATATTTTAAAATTGGGTATAAAATATATTCCTGATAATATGTGGAGTTGACCTGAACAGTTTTTCTGCACTCTCTTTCATTTTTGTTTATCTTTAATACAAAAACCAGCAACAATCATCAATACTTTTTAAAAACTTTCTTTAGAATCTTTGAACTATGTTCTAAGAATTTTTTCTGATCTTTGATGATAATAAATGGATCTCTTTCTATTGCGGTTTTTTAAATATAACCAAGATTCATCTATTGTGACACTATTTTTCTATTTTTGCCCGACTAATTGTTTCCCGAGTAATAATAGAGAGTTCTGCAGCACGTTATACTTCCGTCGATATGTCGTGGAGAAAGAGGACGCACATTACGCCAATTCAAATCAGCATTAATCACTTTGTTTACAGTTGACACTGAGAATTTTGATGATTATTCAACTGTCTTTTGACTTCACAGATTTTCTTTTAACATTACAGTTCTTATCTTTGCAACATTCGAAGCATTCCGTTTTTTTTCCTTGGATATGTATTTCGAACAATTTTTATCCTTGAAACTAAACTTTGACGTGTACGTGTTTTTTTCTTTTCTTACTGACAATATTATCTATCGTTGCTTTATACACTGAAAAATCATGGCTTTAGCACCTTTTTAATAACTAAACGCGAATAATTTTCATTGGAAAGAGCACAAATTTAGCCCTCAGATTGGAAAGAGCACAAACTTACTTCCTCAAAAATGCCATTTTGCATAAAAATAAAATTCTCAAGTAGCACACGATCCTTTATACTTTGAAAAATTTAATGGCAGTTGAAAACATTTTTAGAACAGGTGATTTTTTGTTTAGCAAAGCAAAGTCATCTAAAAAATGTGTGAACAGATACTGCAATTGTATCGCTTTATTTTTTTCTACCGTATTTACTTTTTTTACACTGCGTATCTTTTCGACTCGTTTGATAATCACACATAGTTTCGAAGTCCGTTGTTACCTAATTGCTTTGTTGAATTAGAATATAAACCTATCCTATGCGTTGCATTCATAAATTTTAGAATTATCCTAGTCATACCATTTGTAAGTTTTTTAACACTAAATGTTGTTACATTTATTTTTTGAAGTACATTTAGAGTGATATGATTCGGAGATTTATACAAATGGAAAGGCTAATCATGTAATAATAATATCAGACGAAGCGGCATGGAAAGGATCTTATTTTTACACTAATAGCTTGGACGATGAGAAGACTGTGTGTGGAGTTATGTCGAAAGAATGTCTAAAAATACAGGAAATAAAAATTAGTTACTTACATTCTGCTAATCTTTCTTCGAGTATTGCAATTTGTTCGCTGAGAGAATTGATTCTTTCATCACGAGCATGTCTGTTATCTTGTTCTTCCGTAAATGAACGTCGCTTCCATCCTTCTAACGCAGAAAGACGCTGGAAAATTCAGATTTAATGTTTAAAAAAAGTACCTGTACATTAGTATATCAATTAACTGAAAACTTCTAAGCAAAATGTATTCAAAGTGCATATTTTATAGGATACTGTGACAGAGTAGACCAAAAGGAATTTCAGAGTTCTTAAATGAAGTGCACATAAGTTATACATACGGTTTTCATATTTACATTCTTAATTTTATCGATAAAAATCAAATAGAGAAAATCATGGCGCTTTTTTTTTTACATATTTTACTTTCGAAACAATATTTGAAATTTTACAAAAAATCCATTAAATGAGATATGAAATAGTATGTATTTGAAATGATGAAATAAAAATATATGCTGTCAAAAACACTCCGAAGAAGTAGATGTTAAAGAAATTAATAATAAGAATCGGTTAGTACATTTGAAGGACTAAATTCCGTAAAACGAATTTGTAAAACTAATCCTGTAAAACGTTTTAGCGTTATGCTGAATAATGTTGCAATGTTATTAGTTTTTTTAATATTACATATTTGTATGCAATAAAAGAACATACACATAATTAACATTCGCATTAAAAACTGTAACTTGGTCAAAAATTAAACAATGAGATTATATAAGAAAAATCTAACAGTTCATGTTTTCATCTTTGCCTCACATAATTTATATTTCAACTGTCTAAATATTAGCAGATATTTTATAATGAACGAGACAGAAGAATCGATCATCAATTTGAAATATTTCTTAATATTGCATCTAAAATTTATAAATATAATTTTTTTTACAAACAGTCTCGTCAAAGACTAGTATTGTAAAAACCAAATTGTTTTTATAACTATTTATTAATTTCTCATAAATTTATCAACTGAAAATTCACTGTTAATTCTGTGCGAAATATATATAGAGATATCCTGACTCATGTTAAGTCAGTTTTCTCTTTTAGAGTTATAAGGTATTTTCTCCCCTCTTTCCGCATGCCTTCATGGTGTAATTGGAAGCAAATTCGACGCGTATTCCAGAGGTTCAGGGTTTGAGTCCCAGCGAAGGCACTGCACATTTTTCACGTTTCCTGTATCGATAATCTTAATGATTCTACAGTGGCGCCCGAACTAAAAAGGTGGTGGACGATAATCTGGTAACTGGATTCCTAACTCCAGTCGCTCTTTAAAAAGAGGAGTATATAAGGTATTTTCTCCCCTCTTTCCACATGCCTTCGTGGAGTACTTGGCAGGATATTCGACACGTATTCGAGAGGTCCAGGCTTCGAGTCCAGGCGAGGGTATTGCACACTTTTCACGTTTCTTGCAACGATAAATCTAATGACTCTATAATGTTTTATTTTACCAAACAACTATTGGTTATTTTTTTTTTTTTTTTTTTACGTTTTTTAAAAATTCACCACTTATTCTGGAAGAGGCGAATTAGATAAAAAAGAAGAAGAAACTCTCAGAAATATTTCTATTAGTTTTGCTTTGCTGCTACAGAGACTGCTGAGAAAGTATTAGCAGAGTCCCCCTGCTGCCTACGTCTCATTACAGTTTACAAAATGATCTATCTACGCCAGGTATTAGACTACTTCGTTGTAAGTTTATTCATCTTAAACGCTGTCCAGAAAACTTAAATCTGCGTACCACAGTAAAGCATGATTTTGCCTCGTACTGATAAGGACAATGGCATGTTTGCTGTAAGAGCAGAAACATTTCTTTGTAAACTGGAAATGAACTTACCATTGAACTGTCACAAACCTCAGCTGGAAAAAAAATTTTACGCGGGTGTTAGTAAATTCAATCTGGAGTGAGCTCATAATTGTTTCAAGACCGCATGCTATACTTTTCACGTTGTTTTAAATGCTTGTTGAATCCCATTTCCTTCATTAGCTATTTGAACAGTGATAAGTAATTCACATCACTGAATATTTCTCCCAAATGATAATGCTTTCCTAGTGAATAAGTTGTACTAATTCGATGACACATACATTCCTTCCAGCATTAATTAAAATAGAATGAAAGATGTCAATCGATAAAATTATTTCGATCGATAAAATTATTTTATCAATAAAATTATTTCGATATTCCAACTCGTATAATTAATCACTTATTTTTTATCACTAATTTTGGAATCAAGAATATTAATTTTAGTATTTTAAGTTTGGACTTTCAGATTTAATATTATACCACTGAACTTCTCAATATATAAGTTTTTAAATTATAATTAACACTCTGCGCCTTAACATCAGCCGCAGAATCTAGGATGATTGGATCTTTTCTGCAATCCGGAACAAAGCTTTAACGACATAACAGTCATTATTATACCATTTTTTTCTTCCTTGTACGAAGTAAAGGAAGTATTGTAATCGTGAAAAGTTTTAGGCAGCATATTTCAACGAAAATCTCCATTTTGACCTCTGTCGACTCCATTTGAACGATGTTTTTGTGTCACATCTGTATGTATGGACAGAATAAATGATTCTTTCCCAAAATGAATTGTAAAATGGATTTAAAATGACTTCAGAAGAGATTTTTTTGTGACGTCTTTTGTGAATGTCTTTACGTACGTGCGTACGTATGAGTTTTAGAATTATCAACAATTTAAAAGCTTTTTCAAGTTATCTGAGTTTAACGACGCTGCCAATCAGTTTCTACATGAACTTCAGCGTCTTTTTGCCCAGTGGAACCACAAGTTTTGTGCACCGAAAAATCTGTCTTTCTGCCTAATTTTAACTAATTTAAACTCTTAATTTTAACTGTAAAAAATTGTTTTTAACAGTTTTTAACTCTATTTGGTGTTTTAGGTTTTTCTGTTCTATACAATATTTAATGAAGATACTTTGAGGTTTATGTATTTTTTCCTTTGCCGCGAAGTGAGCATTAAATTGATTAAAAGAGATATATACCTATAATAAAATTCGGGGATAAAGTTTAAAGGAAATGACCAAAATGCGCAAAATTTAATAGGCCGTACAAGGAAGTCATGTAGTGTCCACATCAGGTTTTTTTAAATAAAACTTTAGAGAAACCTAGCCACACATTCGCAGGTCATAAAAGTTAAATGCTTAAGTAATATAACATTACAAAATATTTTATACAGTATTCAGCCACTGAATGTATTTTCTTTATGAATTCTCCTCTTCTGTTTTTACTGATTAGTTAAATAGACACGATTAAGCCATTTTGCACTGTATGACTATCTTAGCCTTCAGAATGTTTGCTTACTATTTTTATTACGTCCTGTTTCTGTATTTTTATTTTCAGGAAGCTTAGACAAAATTCAGTTATTATAAACTTTGAAAAAACATGATTACTCTGAAAATATAACAAAATGATTTAATTTTGGACAATTGTTGAATTTTTATTTATCCCAAATCTTTCTTAAATCAATATTATGTCTAACAACTAATTTTTATTTAATTCTCCTATGAATATATTTTATTTAGGAAATAAAGTTCTTACCCCACTCAGCTAGATTTATTTAAAATTCTGGAGCTGTTACACTTGATTAGAACGCTTTAAGATTCCTTCACGAATCATTCTTTTTGTAATGCAATCATTCTTTTTGTAATTCAGTAGTTAAATATATAACTATTTAACTACCGAATGTAATTTTTATTATTAACAAACATATATATGTCAACCTTAATATGGAAATGAACTAGCAAACTTCTCGCCGACTACATGTAAAATTCGGTTATAGTATTTACGGAGTACAAAACATTTTCCGGAACATATACTGAAGCGGGCTATTGCATTAAAATACATATTGCCTCCCACAGATATAATTTCTTTCCTACATCAATTTGAAATCATCCATAATTCAAGAAAATTATTCATAACTTAATTCTCATGGACCAATCACATTGTTACTTAAATGTAGTAAATTGAGTACATTAAAACAACTGTAGAAAATTTTAAAAAATTAATTTCAGTGACAATTATGCATATAGATATGACAATAATTACCCGAATATCACAATCTTTTATCTTAAATTAAAAATTTTAACACTATTTTACCCTTTTATTATTTACCATCGCAGGAACCTGAACATAGCAAACTTACACATATAATGTCTATACGCTCAAAAGCCTTATTTTCAGAAACGCTGATCTCAGACAGATACTTACGCTTACAGAATTGTTTTAAACAAAGCAAATATTCGCGTTATATCATTTTTAAATGTAATAAACGAGTTTTGTAAAAATTAGAAGTATCACTTTTTATTCGACTCCCCTATCCCCATAATTGTATTTAGCAAAATTATATATTTATTATCAACCCAAAATGTTTGACTCCCGTACAATAAAGGACCCCACCAGGGTCCGAGTGATTAAGATCCCTGAACACTGAAAGTTCGACCTCAGGCGAACAGGCTGCCTGTATGGTTGGTTTGCGTTGGTTGAACACAAGCCAGTTTCTCTTAAAAAGTCCTAGACGGAGGCCTCTCTTCTCTTAAACAACACTTATCGTTTTGACAAATTAAAATAACCTAATCCGTGCAATAATAAATAATAATTTAGGATAATTTAAGGCTCTATTTTTCCATTAAATGACATTTAGTGATACTGCTTTGTGATTTATTTGCGTGTAACATCCATTATTTTATAATTTTGTTACACCTGGTATGCCGGAAAAATTTTTCATGCAGTTAATAAATTTTTAATTGCTAAAAATTCCCTTTTAATATTTTTATGCAGTTTAATTTCTTTAGAATCATAATATACTAATTCATTAAATGAAAAATATTTTTCATGTTTAATTATGAAACGTGTGTTATGAATTGGCAATGTACTGATTCTGAAAGTTTGCCGCTATTTCCTAAGGCACGAATGCTTAAAATTCTGTAAATCATATTTTCTTTTTGAAAAACAAATTATTCTAATCAATACTTTTCAGAATATAGTACCTAGCTTTGCTTATCGCGCAAACTATCAACATCAGAAATTTTTTTCTCTAAACTGCATTTCGTTTTTAGTATTGCACAATAGCAAACATTTTGCTGTTTTAATATGTGCACAACCTATCAACATGATCTCAGATTTAAAAATTTAATATCTCGGTCAGATTTTGTCGTATAGTCATATGTTAGGTGTTTATTTTAAGAACGAATATAAACTTCTACTAAATTTAGCTACAACATAAAAATTAGATTTTATAATTTTTAAAAATTTGCTTGTATAATTTTTAAACGACAAAATATGAATATCTGCGTCATTTAAATCAATATCGTAACTGAAGTATACGTCTTAGACCAATGATTGTAAAAGTGAGGGCTATATAAGGACTTTTGGGCGTGGTTTATGCATACACACAGAACTATATATATATAGAGAGAGAGAGAGATTTGTGTGTGTATATATATATATATATGCCTACACATACTTACGTACACACCACGCACACACAAAAGAGACTGAGACAAAAATAAAAAAGAAGAAAAAAAGAGAAAAGCTTTTCTCAAATAAAGATTTTTTTTTGTCTTGTTGTTATTTGTTTGTAAGTTTCTATGCATTGACATTAATTGACCTTATCGTCCAGATATTTTACATATCAGTACTTCAGTGCCACTAAATGTAACGCATTTAGGTGTTCTAGAAATATTTTCATTGGAATTTTACTAATATTAAAGCACAATTTAGCAACAATAAGCGTATATTGGAACAAAATACACTATAATAATGTTTGAAAAGTATTAAATGTTATGTTAACTACAAAATCTGTCTTACGAGCTTCAAAGAAAACTAGCCTTGAGAGGTTTTTCAAGTAACCTTCGCCTGCCTATTATTCCCCGGCTTAATGTTCATTTGGCACAAAATGGAAAATGGGGTGTGGCATTATCTTGTTTGAAAAAAATATAGTTGACTATGATTTGCAGTCTTGGCCCTACGCGATGCAAACACTTCCAGGTGGCAAGCACCCATTAAATGCATGGTAAAAAAATAAATAAGCATATATTTCGAAGTGTAAAATTTCATCCATCTTCCAAGGCTAAAATTAAGCATATTATTGTGCTTTGTTTATTTTAAAAAAGTTACATATCAGCAGTGATAAACTTATTTGAATCAAGGCAAATTTGACATGAAATGTTAATAACAAAAAGCTTTTAACTCTTTTCAATGTTGCTGTTGTTATGAAAGCCATATCTACTGCACTATGTGATAGCATGAGTTTAAGATGCAAGATCATGCAATTTGGAATAAATTTACCTATTTGGAATAAATTTACCAGACGATGATGAAGTGAATAAGCCGTTTACCTCAAATAAAATGTGAGAATGAAGGTCAAAGTTAAAAGTGTGTAGAGACATTAGGTATGTTTTTTGAAGCAGGAAAGATAAAAAATAACAACCGCCTTCGCCGGTAATCGAACGACGGACCTCTGGAATACCGGCCCAGCGTACAGAACCCTTACACCACGAAGGCACGCTAGGAAAGTGGGAGAAAAACCTTATAAGTGATTAAATACTAGTATAAGAAAAAGATTAAAAAGCAAAAAAAGCATTTTGAAAGCATAACTTTGATACCTGCCTCAGATGTTAAAATCAGTAGACGCTACCCTCAGTATCAGTATCAGGGTTGATTATCGTCCGAACATAATAGTGAATTCAGAATTTTTTACTTTTTGAAATACGGAATTTTCGGATTTGTGAAATGTTCACACATCATCTTTCTCAAATTTTATTTTGGATAAAATATATCATTAAGTGAATACATAAACTGAAAACTTTTAGGCTACGTAAACACTTAATATGAAATACAATTAGACAGTTGTATTGTACAGGAACAACTAATATTGCAAACCAGGGATAGTCAGTTGTTTACAGGAACAACTAATATTGCAAACCAGGGATAGTCAACCTGCCCCTTCTGCCCACTAGTGGGCGATTTAAGCTTTCACGGTGGGCAGTGGAGGTTAATGTCCGATAATGATTGAAACATGCATAAAGATGTGTCGACATACACACCCCTTAAAGTTTAGTTCTCTACTTGAACATCCCCCTTCGAGCAGTGTTCTACTGTTTCCCTATATTTATATTACTTTGTGTTATGTTAATGAATATTCTGTCTATTAAAAGTTTAATATTGTAAATTATATCATAAATAAATGCATAAATTGAACTATATATTTTTTAGTGAACCTCCACTTAAAAACTTCTTTGCAGTTGCGCTATATTACGTGACTGTAAATAGAAATGTTACTGTCTACAAAGTAGGGAGGAACGTATAAAAAGTTTGACTACCCCTGATGTAAACTTGTGGGCTGAGAGAAGATGGAAGACAGAATGTTCAGTATTTACAAAATGATTAAATCTGTTTTAGCTTCCTTCCATAGACCCGTTATCGAAATTTCAGTTCACTTAATTATGTGGTTCATATTATTGTAGAATGTAGAACATTTCTCAGCTCTGACAGCCTAGCTGTGGTGAGTATGAAATATTATTTATTTTCATTACACAAAAAATGCATATGAAGTTTTCCGGAGAAAATGCCTTTGAAGACTGTGGAGATACTAACTTATGGAATAACTACATAGCTGAAAATAAGTATTTATATTCCATGGTTGTATTCTTTATAGCAGTTCCTCATCTCCAACACATGCTGATCTGCATACTTCAAATTCTAATACCTAACGGTTTAAATGAAGAGCCACTGGCTGCATCAAAATGTCTTGCTAATAAATACATTAGGCACTGCTTAATTGCGATGACTTTTGACAACGGCTGTTTTGAAACATTAAATGAAGAGAAAAGCTATCCTTCAAAAAACAGCAATGGAACTTAACTAATTTAATATAAAAATAATAAAAAAACATATAAAAAGGCACTTGTGTATAACTGTATGTGTATGTAAGTGCACGTGTATAACTGTATGTGTATGTAAGTGCACGTGTATAACTGTATGTATATGTATATAACTGCATGTGTATGATGTGTATGTGTATAAATGTATGTGTATTTATCACATGAATATTCTGAATCATTTGAAACCGTGCTGAATTATTTTACTCCACGGTAATTTTCATCAATATTTCTAAAATGAAGTCGCAATCATCTCTGCTGTATGTGATATAATAAGAACTAAAGAAAATGATCACTATATACTTACTTGTTGCATATCTTCAATTTTCTTCAAAAGTTCACTTATGTCCTCAGCATTCGAATGTCTTGCAATTTCTTCTATGATATGAAAGAAATAAATTTAAACAAATGAATAAAAATGGCTTAAATATCCATACAATTTCTAAACAAGGTTTCGTAGATTTGAGATAAAGATTTTCATGTATACTAATATTAATTAAAAAGATTGTTCGTAATGCTTATTTACTCACAAGTGGTAGAATTATCCTTATTGAGTTTGTGGAAGGCGTTTGAATTTTTAAATGAAGTTTAAACTAGTCGAATAATTGTTTTGCTTATTTCCAAAGAGCTACATGAAATTTCAGTTAGGTACAGAATACAAAAAATTATTTCAACTTATGATGATCCTTTCAGCATTGTTTTAGAAATATTAATAGCCGATAAAATTCAAATACTTTTCATTTGCTATGAGTTGAAAAGATGTGGATGCACTCCAAGGACGCACGTTATCACAAGCACCTTTTGAAACATAAAATTAGGGTTCGGGGGAGGGTGATCTTCTCTTATAAATGTGTAAACAATTAAATCTCTTTGTGCCTCATGAATGTCTTTATTTTATTTTTTTTTTCTATAGAAAGTATGAGGAGGCCGTTTATGGAACGAAAAAGCGAGAAAAAGTCCTCTTTTTGCTCCTTACAGAGTATTCTCGTATTATGTATGAAGAGGTCCTACGAAAATGCGCCTACGAAAAATAATCACAAGAAGGGAAACTCCAACATTCTTTCTCAAAATGCATTGACCTTTTACGCTTGATTCTTAGCTATAATGCATATGATTTTTTTTGTTGTTGTTGTTTATGAAAGTACTGTAAAAGAAATTATTATGATTTCAGCCTCTGGTTACACGAGAACATATCAGTGGGAGGTCTTTCTTAACACCTAAAAGCCTTATCATACTTAGGAAAGGTTGCCTCTGCTTTGAATCATCTGGAATATTTCCTAGAAATTTACATACGTGAATAGTTTGATCATCGAGAAGAGACACACACATTAACTTTTATTCTCGCCAAGGTAAGCCACATTTATCATATATTTCCTAAACTGACAGCTTAGTTTAAAAAAAAAATAGGAAGAAAAAAGGAAAAAAAATTGGAAGGTTTCAGATTTTAACGATTGCTGAAAAGTCTGCTGCTGAAAGTTTTTTACACTCTCGCTGAGCTCGCAGTCTAGTCTGCTCTCTGCTGTTGCACTCCCTCTTGCTAACCTTTTTTATTTTTTCTTTTTAACTTTTATATCATCGTTTCCTTTGCGCTTACGCAACATACAATTCAACAGCAAAATCACAACATTTTTAACAGCAGCATCCCTGCAATATGAGCTTTATGGATAACCGTGTGTACACAAAATGACTTTTGAATGGAGCAGCTCTTTCTCTGTTATCAATGTATATCATACCAAATTTCGTTAAAATCTGTCCATTATTTCTTCAGGAATTCGACATGATAATGTGCAAATTTTTCACACGAGTGTCTATTATAATGCAGTAATTAACTACTAGTATTACAATGCATTTATATTACATGAAATAATGGCTAATAATTTTGTCTCACAACACTTTTATGGGCGGTTTATTTGAAAGTAAACCTTCGGCTCAAGCTCTTAATTTGTGCATAGAATATACCGAAGTTACTTGTTTCCTTTATAAAATACGTTTTTACCAAAAGAAAGATAAGACAGTGCAGAAACATAATTGGAAGATTGAGAGGATTGGCAATAGATTTAAATTGCTTTCTTCCATCGTTTCAGTTACAGGCAAGTTTACTCTATATAAACATCTCAGTAAATAGTTTGTGAAAATTAAAGAGTAACTAATTGGTTTATCAATGCAATATATGGTCACAAATTGTTAAACAGTTATAAGCTAAAATCTCTCTATATATACATGATAAATTCATAGTAATACCGCTAAGAAAATCAAATTTTATTTGATAATATTAAATTTTTTGAGAGGTTTGTTAGCATTTTAACAAAATTATTAACAGCATCTACTTACTGTTGCAGTTACGCCCATTTGGGTGTAGAGAATATCCTTCTCGGCATGAGCATTTGTAAGACCCAGGCACATTTATGCATTCTTGTTCACAAAAGTTATTTCTTTGAGAGCATTCATTTACATCTGTAATCGTGGATATTTAAGCAATTATTAAATATGCAAACATCAACTTTTGAAAATTTGTGTAATTTTTTGTTAATTATGTAAACATATAAATGAAATTCTTGGCAGCAAATATTAGGGAAATGCAATCGATAAATTTTAAAATCTTTCCTTAAATTTGGAAATTGTAACCAAAACTAAATACCTGAAATTTTACACTTATTTTATATCTAACATTAGAAGTCATAAATTCATTGTTCAAAATGTGAACAACATGCAGTAAAGTCGGACACTGGTTGGAAAAAATGATTAAAATACACCATAAATTAAGGATCCCGTCCATAAATTAAGGATAATGCAAAATCAGGCAAAGGAAGAGTTAGAAGTAAACCAAATTTGACTTATTTGTAAAGCTTATTTATTAAACAAAAGGTAAAGAGCAAAACAAGATGCTATATGTTTGATATTATTAAAAAAAATTAGCGATTTTTCTCCCTGAAGCAAATTACCAAAAAAAAAAAAAATTTAAAAAAAAAAAAAAAAAAAAAAAACCAATATTACATGGTTGGTATTGATTGTTAATACATTGTATGTGTCTCCCAGACGATGCAATACAGTCCGTACAACGCCTAGGCATTGCTGAGTATCAAATTATCGATCTGATCTTGGGGGATATTACATCACTCAAAAGCAATGCTCTCTCCGAAGTTTCCGGTAGACATGTAGGAAGGAGGTTGACGGGCTGCAACTCGTCGGCCAAGCATGTCCCACACGTGTTCTACTGGTTCAAGTCTGGTGAGAATGCTGGCCAGTCCATACGGGTGATATCCTCCGATTGAAGGCATTCGCTTACGATATTTGCACGGTGAGGACTGGGCGTTGTCATCCATAAACACAAATTGTGTGCCCATGGCCCCCGAAACAAATGTACATGTTGTTCCAGAATGACGTCCCGATAGATTTGGCTTGTCATGATTCCAATTTGAACATGAAGGTCAGTTCTGGAACCCAGAATAATTCCACCCCAAACGAGCACTCCTACACCACCGTAACGGTGTCGTTCAATGATGCTTTCTTGGTGGTAACGAATACCTGGAGCTCTCCATATGAAAGTCCGGCGAGAATCAGACTGCAAGCTAAACCTGGACTCGTCGGAAAACATCACACAAGCCCACTGTTGCGTTGTCCACAATGCATGCTCTCTACTCCGGGCTAACCGCAGGCGACAGTGAGTTGTAGTAAGTGGAACGCATCTGACAGGTCTACAAGAATATAACCCCAATCTGCCCTAAGCGTCTGTACACGATCTGCCTTGAAATTGTCGTACCAGTGGCTGAAGAGAGCTGACGAGACAGGTCTGAGGCTGTGCTCCGCCTGTTTTTTTTTGGCAGTAACTGCCAAATACCGGTCCCTTATTCGGCGCTGTAAACTCTGGGGCGACCTTTGCTGTAACGTCTACTCACATTACCATCATCTTGGAATCGTTGCTAAAGCCTGGAGATGACACTCTGGGCAATTCCAAGTTCGTCTGATACTTCCAGTTGGGAAGTATCAGACGAACTTGAAATTGACGGTATTCCAGACGGCCGATAATTCTACCACGTAAAAAATCATCCAAATGCGTCCTTTGTGTCATAACTATTCGGTTATTGCACTGAAATGCTTATGAAGCGCCTGCAAACAATTTTACTTCTTTGCTTGTATTCCTTATATATCATTCTCTTACACTCTCGTCATTTTGACGTACCATCGGTGTCATCTGGTTACTTCCTGAAATTTGCATATGATTCTTGAAGATGTGTGTAGTGATTTTACAGGTGGTATATTTATTTTAGAGTTCGATTTCCGCGTGACTCATAATTATCCTTAATTTATGGACATGAGTGTAATATCCAGTATGAAGTAAATGTACAAATGAGCCAATTTCGATATTAAGTTCGTTAATAAATGAAAATTCGGCGATCTTTATTATGAATGAACTCATACCGAGCTGAAGCTTGTACGGTTGCTAGAAGATGGTCAGTTAAGACCTTCAGACCCAGTCCTATAAATCTTTCATTTATTAAGCTAATTTTTGATAATTCTGCTCAATTTTGTAATTGGTTGAATTTTGGTTTCTGCCTCAAAAGCTTCAAATTGTAAAGTTACAAGGCACAATTCATTTTCCAGCATACTATATTTAGATTTAGGTTTGCTAGCAAACTTTACTACATTTACATTAAGTTTAGGTTTGTTCCATCATTTTTAAAACAACTAAACATATGCGCAAATTATAATAGAAAGAACAAAATACAGATTTTTGGCATTAATTTCATCAAAACATTCATCGTTAGGCTGAGCCAAAATTAACTTTTGCACCGTCATATATGTTGTGTCGTGCGAGAAACATGTTTTTATTAGTTACAATAATGATTCAAATGAAGGTCTACAAAACTATCAATTAAATACATTACACCGGTTCTGCATTTGAAATATTTTTCTTCGTCACTATCTTTCTGGATGCTTCTTGCATATTTCATATATCTGTTCCAAATACGATGTTCATTTTTCAATTTAATAAGGACCCCAAAAATTAAATTAATTTGAAAAATCGCATCTTTTTACCTTCTTGTAGGAAGTATTGTAATCGTGAAAAATTACTTGAATATCATATTTGAACAGAAACATCCATTTTGATCGTTCCCGAATCCATCTCGCGTGTACGTACGGACATTATAAAGGACTGTGTTTCTTCTAAAATGGATTGTAAAATGTGTTTAAAATGGATTCAAAAGGGATTTTTTTTCGCGACGTCTGTACGTACATATGTATGTTGTAACAGCTTTAATATCGTTATTAATCTCTCGTGCATTTGAAATAGATGAATAATAAATAATGTACAGATTACTGGCAATATTGAAATGCAGGCTCGAGAGCTGCATGCATTTTCTCGCACGAAGCATGTAATTTTTTTTTAAAATAAGTTTATAGAATATGTTTTCTCTTCTTGTTTGCATGTCGCCATTTTTTTTAGTGTTAAATAAAACTTATTGCTGTGTTCCATCATTGGAGTTGCTTCATTTCGCCAAAGAAGTATTACAATGTATGTATATATCTCGTTTAACTCAAAAACAATTAACTGTAGAACGCTGAAATTTTGGCTATGGGACTGCTATAACATCTAGTTGTGCACACTCTTTTTTATTACAAATGGGAAAAAACAAACTTATATATACATATATCCCTTTACCCGGCTTTTATTTTCCCAGACGTTGATCGTTATACTTTCAGTGACAGAAATCTATTAAATCATGAAAATAATAGCAGTGTCAAACTTTTTTTTTAATTAATTTTCGATAAATAACGAAATCAAACTTTTAATACGGTCTCCCGTTTTCTAGACTTGTTTGGTAAAGTTTATACTAGATTTTAAAAAATAAAATTCGAAGAAGTTTGAAACCCGTAAGACAAAAACTGACCGGGATATTTAATTTCAAAATTTGCAGTTTTTGATGTCGTTTTCAACTTGTCTTGAAAGATCCGTTGATTAAGTTAAAATAATTCAAGCAAATGAAATGCAGCAAAAAATGAGTATAATTTAATAGACTGTAAAGGAAGTCTACATCAGATTTCTTATACATAGTTTTGAGAGAACATTTAAAGGGGATTTGTGTTACATAAAATTGAAGCATACATAAAGTGAAGCTGGAATCGTATATGAGCTGAAGTTCTTAGCTTTTCTCTGTCCACTAATGCTTCACACGCCCTATTTTGTCATTCAGATATAGAGATTCCATAGAAAAGGAAAGCTACTACACCAAAGAGTAAAATGTTTTGTGTAGCATTGTATTTTTGCAATTAAATGCATTACAATTAAATGTATTTTGTACATTTAATTGTAATATATTTGTAATGTGTGCAATTAAATGTATTTTTACAATGAAAATTTTAAAAATAATTTCGTCCGCGTACGATCAAAGTTATTTGAGATACAATTAGTTAAAACTTATAGGGAATACATTAAAATATTACGAAAGATACATAGGTTAAATTCTCAAATGCAAAATTGTCAATGACAAGACACTACTTTTATGTGAGGGAATCATTAATTTAGTGCTTTTGGTTTTAATCATCATGTATAGTACAGCTAAATTCCGAAATTCTGTATTCAATGAAGTTTATTCTTATACGATTCCTAAAACCATTATTATCGAACAGAAGTAAGTTTTAAGCCAATGAATTTGAGTCATGTTTTCAGTTTTGCATATTTGTATTATTCTTCTCTCCAAAGACTTTAACAGAAAGCGAAACAACTTTTCTCCTAGAGAGTCCGTATAAAAATATAAATTTCCTATATTTTTACTAAAAATAATCACGTGAATAACATTATAGTTATCTAATAGACTATCTTATTTGATTCATTTCTTGAACTGAAACTATGCATCTACGGACGAATTGTGCAAGATATACAAATATGCAGTCGTGCAGTAATTTACAAATATACAGTCGTACAAATATATAGCCGTGCCTGTAAACTTGCTAAAATATGAAATTAGCAATTTTTTAAACTTAATTCTTTTAGTCATATATTCAAAGTTCGTGAACTTTTAAATCTTTCCAATGTAATGGATTCTATACTATATCCATATCAGAACCATCACCATAAATCAACACTATAGCAGTATCTTAATAGCTTATTTATTTATTTATTATTTGAGGAAATGAAATATAAATATTACCTGTTTCACATGTTTTTCCAGTCCATCCAGGTGGGCAAGAACAATGATCCGGCTTTGTGCATACGCCACCATTTCGACATTCTTGTCGACAAACAGCTGTCGATAAAGGAAATGGAAATTATAAGTACAAGTTATTTAGGTTAATAAATATGGAAATAAACGTAAACAACGAAAGCAGAAGTATTAAAATTTTACCAGCTAGAAATATGCTTTTGCTTTATTGATAAAATTGTTAGTTTTATTTATTTTTATATTAAATGTATGCGTAGTATAAATTTTAAATTATAACTAGACATGATTTAAATATTAAACATAATAAACATATATCAACAAAAATATCGAGTTCGCAATAACAAGAAAAATATAACAAATAATGCACTCAACACTATGTTTATTATTAAACTCAAAGATTAAATTAAAATGAGTTAACAAACGAGAGGTATGTTTCATTAAGAAAAAATATATGTATTAAAAGGTTTCACATTACATGGGAAATATGTGAGGCCTATTTAAATTCATTTAGTTTTCAAGGCATCTAGAAGCACATCAAGCTTTCATATTCAAAACGAGTTTTATATTTTTATATGCTACGTTGAGTTTATGGTCTCGGAGATGGCTTTTCCATATAACCTTAATTTTTAACATTTTGGGACACATGAATATATTTATTTTACCGTAGCTCTCACAGAATATTTAAATATATGCTTTTATTTACAAATGCTTCTATCCCTTCACATCCTTGCATTTTCAATTATGCCAATGCACTTAAAGCAGTTCTTTACGATCTTATGATTTCTTCTTCTACTAGTTTTCTAATTTACTGACGGATTGACAAAACAGAATAAAAATTTAAACCATGCTACAGCACTTGCAGTACTAAATGCTCATTTTAAAGAAATATATAAAAGTAAAACTCACAAATGAAATTTACGATGCCATGTATACTTAGCTTCATTTATTTTGCTATTTAATACAATTTCATTGTGCAGCAATGAAATGAACACTCATAAGGTGCAATTATCAATGAAAAAAAGCACTTATCACCTTTCTTGCAGTCAGACGACGAAGATCGCATTTGGGTCCATCCAGGACAGCAGGAATGCGATGATTCAGTCTTTGCAACCATTCTTTGAATTGTGCGATATGAGAGTTCGTACGCCACTCTGGAAGAAAAAAAAACAGAACATTGCAATATAGGATGAATACCATTACAAGCATTACTGAAGATTGTTGGATTGCTAGAAATTTGGAAGCTGAAGTTTACTTCTGTAGATCTTATTAGACAAGTTAGTGAGTTATCGCTACATCTTAAAACTCAAAAATACAGTTCATCAGGAGTAAAGAGCACCCAGATCTGGCTACCTCGAGGCTGCCTTTACACAGTTAGACACACCCAACCCCTAGATGGGATTCAAAGAGGCATAACCACCCGGTCAACTCAGGGGTACACTTTCTATTTCACAAAGGCCTGGGTTTTGAATCACAAGTGAACGGTGGATAGCCACGCATCCACCGAAAAAGCACAAAGTTTGTCATCGACTAACCCCCAGTAGTGAAAAAGGATAATCTGAACACAAAATGCATAACTTGTGTTACAGATAAACCACCACTTGTGGCGATGTAAATTAGGCAAATGACAGTCAGTTAAATTCAAACGCGGATAGCGTAGTCTAAGACTACAAATTCAACAAAATAAGCCATAAAGCTGATTCAAAATTTTACCAGCGCATAAGTTTAAAACATCCGACTAGCAAGAAAATGGGTAAATCGCAATAATCACTTTCAGATATAGCTGGCTAGGCATTCTAATAGCCCGACGCGAGTGCCAGAAACTATTTCTCTCTAAGTAACGGTATCGGTAACGTTATGCTTCAATACTGTGAATTTCGCATTGTATCCGGCTTAATAAAAATATTGCCCTAAAAGCACTTCACAAGGGAAAAATTTAACAAATGTGGAAGAGAGGAGAAAATGTTGTCCTAGGTTTAAGAGACCAAACTAGAATCTTAAAGGATTGGAATATGAGATTAAAGTCATAGTAGAGATAAAAATAGATATACAAAATACGAAAAAAAAATCAAATAGAGACAGAAAAATTACTATATACAAATACAGGAGCGCATGTGTAGAGTTTACGTTGGAAAATTTAAATATCTTTGAAGATGCGCAACATGAGAACATAATTCCTTGTCCTCTTGTAGAATTTCGTATTGGAACAATATAAAATTCATGAGATGGTTACAACAAATAACTTTTCGTAGAAATTCCTATTGATTTTGTTGAGAAATTTATCAATAGTTTCAATATTGAGGTCCTAGTGGATTCTTTGATTGTGCACGCAGAAGTGTGGGTTAGTAATGATGCACAGATATTTACTTTAAACTTGTTGGCATTTGATCTGGTCATTTTTGGTAATAGTAGGCAAAGCCAGTTACATATAGCTAAGGACTAAATGCAAAATTTAGATGAGGCGTTTCTTTCTTAAGTCTAATTTGGGATAATTGCCAACAATTGAAAAAGGCAGCTGATGACTTTTGTAGCTTTATTCTTAACATTTTCGATGTTATCCTTCCAATTAAGTTTACTATTGAAAGTGAGCTTCACCAAAAAACAGTCAGGTTTTTTCTTAGCTTCGTGTGCTTTTTACGAATAATTAACAACTGAGATTTATGGACATTGACGAATATTCTCCATTTTGTGCCCCAGTCCTCAGTCATTGACATTAACTATTGGAGTTTTCGGAGCTCATGGTTTGCGTGCACTAATTTGACTGCCTAGGTAGTATCGTCAGAATAACATTGGGAAAGTCCATAACGTAGAAGGGGTAGAGGTTAGCAGAAATCAAGAGGATAGGGCCCTGTGGAACTGCAGCTTTGATTTCTCGTAATTTCTCTGATTGTGCTTTACCATAGTAACTGTAAATGTCCTATTTGTAAGGAAGAACATAATTAGAAGCATGATTTCCCTTTGGAAATTCAAGTTCATTCATTTTTAAATCAGCCCTTCATGCCAGACGTTGTCGAATGCTTTTGATACGTTAGGCATGAGTAAGACAACATTTTGATGATTATGAAGAGTTGCACCAGCAAACTCATCAAGTCTTACTAATTTTTTAAAAGTAGAAAAATTTTATCAGAAGACAAACTTTTCAGGTGGTTGAAGTTCAAGATGTGGTTTCATTCTACACAGGATTACTCTTTCAAAACATTTTCCTAAGCCTGATGATAGGCTGATTGGCCTGTAAAAATCTTGCATGATTGTGTCTTTACCAATTTTAAAAAATCTGATGTGTACACCACATGACTTCCTTGTACGGAATATTAAATTAACCACAATAGAATAAATGCAGTCTTTAAAATTCACTTTGTTTACCATAGCGACACTCTGGCGCTAGGTTTACGTAACAGTATTATATTTCATTCATATTACAACTCAGAATGCACAAAATGTATATCATTTAAAGAATTATCTAATCGTTGCCACATGTTCTATTCAAATTCTATAATAAAGCTAGAACGATGTATAAAAGAAATTAAGCAAACAAAACAAAAAAGAAACAGTTTTTCACAGACGATAAAGTATTTCTCATTGAATTAATTCAGTTCTCACTTCGCGAGAAGACAAAAATACATAAAAACTCAAAATATCTATATTAAAAATTACGAAGTAAATCTCAAACGCTTATTTCCTCGAAAAAATTCCAGAAAGAATTAAGCATGATTTAATTGGCAATAATAAATGAATCCGTTATCTTTGTTGTTGCAAAGCTAAGTTTCTCTAGATTGGCAACAAATCCACTAGTCTCCTGTTTTCAAATGAAAACATCAATGGCCGCCATTTATTTAAAATTTAGGCTTAGCGGCAATTAAACAACTTTAAAATTGCTTGATAATTCTAAAAATATTGCACACATTTACTAAAGGCATAAAAACCTTAACCGGAAGATAAAAACAACATAATTCAATCATTTTTAAAGCAAAAAATATACAATTTACAAACATATAAGAGTAAAGAAACTGAGATCACTGAACCGGGTAATAGAGTGGATATATATATAAATATATTTATATACGTTTGGTGCGGCCGATTGCAACCAAAATACGAGGTGCACATCTACATGTTATAGCAGTCCTATATATAAAATTTCAACGTTCTGAGGCTACTCGTTTTTGAGTTATGCGAGATACGTACGTACGTACATACGAAACGAAACGTACGTACGAAAAATTCTCTTCAGAATTAATTTTAAAGCAGTTTTATAATTTTTTTGAAGGAAAAGAGTCTTTTATTTTGTCCTTACGTACAGATATCACGCAAAAACATCGTTAAATTGTATTCGATAGCGGTCAAAATGGATAGTTTCGTTGAAATATGCTGCCTGAAACATTTCGCGATTACAATACGTCCTTTTTACTTCGTACAAGGAAGTAAAAAGGAAGATTTTCATTTTTCAGAGAAATTTCTTTGGTAAGATAGGCATTAATTATGCTAGTAAATTTGGCAACAACATTTTTTTGGTAAGTTTTTGATTGTAACAATAGAAAGATTGGCGCTTTTCGAGTTTTTAATCTTTTAATGATATTTGCAGTTTTGCTAGGGGTTGCAAAATCAGTTCTGCTTTTTACAGTAGAAGCATTTAACCAGTCTCTTACAAAGTAACAACTTCGTATACTAATAAACATTACGAGGTGAAGCTTTTGGAATAAATTGTTTTTCAAGGTGGTCCGCAAAGACTGCTACTTTTTCTTCATGCGATAATGCTGCTTTATTATTCATGTAAATAGGTCTATTACATGTAAAGCTTCCTTTAAATTTATTTATAAACGAACAGAAGGAACTATCGTTGGTAACAAGACTCAGAATTTTGACTTCGCATTTTTCCTTTTTATATTCATTAATATTTTTAATTTGCCTGTTGAGTTCTTTTTTAAGATTCGGATCCCATAATTTTCTAAGTCTGTTACTTTGCCTAATAAGATCTCTGATGTGTCTGATGTGTCTAATAAGATCTCTAATCTGTCAGCAAACTAGCCTTGCGGCATGGTGCGTGAAGCTTCTTCTAAGTCAGAATGGATGCTGTTAGTAAGATTTTGAATTGCAAAGTCAATCTCTTTACGAATTTTTAAACCATTCATATTTGGAAGATACTTGTACAATTAATTATAAAAGTCTCCAGTCTGTAATTTTAGTAGTAGTATTTTCTTTAAACACAGTAGTACCTAGTGTAATGAAAATAGGGATATGATCAGAAGTAAGTTCGAGCTTACCTCCAGTCCCATGTTGATTGTGGTAGCAGTTAGAAGTAATTCTAGAATATCAGCACGTTCGGGATTGTTTAGTGAAAAGCACGTTCGGCTGGCGCATAACTAGCAACAGTATGATTAACAATATAATCATGAAGGATCTTTTCATTATTCGTTGATAGCCACAATCAGAGTGCGTTAAGATCACGATAAAAAATCTTGTTTGTCTTCTGGAAAAAACTCGGAGAGAATGTTTTCAGTAAGTAAATTTTGCGGTAGGTTATATAGGATGTTTCATCAAATCGGTTATAAACTTTGAGGAGTGATAGATTACACTACACGATGGAAAATTACTTAGTAATTCATAGTCGAAAAGGCTTTCCTGGTGCGGTAGTGACGAGACAAAGCACAAGAAAGAACACGAACAGGGTGAGGAACCATGTTTATTATGCTTAGTATAGCAGAAATCAAGAAATAAGAACAAAAACAGACAACGATAGTCATCAAAGAATGTCTTCGAAATTATGAACCCGGATCTTGCTGCCTGCCTCACATGTCCGGCACATGGATGATCTGATGTTTTGGAAAATAGAGGGCATGTCCCAAACTTCCAGCAGCTGCCCCGATACTTTCAACAAGTTCCTCAGTACCTCTAAATGGGATTTCGTACACCAATGTCTTGCCATAACCCCAGAGGAAGTAGACAGTGCAAATGAGGTCTGTCGATCTTGCTTGGCCAAAGCACCAAATCACCCCTGCCGATCCCATGTAGAGGATAAGTGTCAAAAGGAATTTAGAACATCTTTGATGACGATCCTCTTTTTTTGTTCTTATTTCTCGGTTTCTGTTGCACCAAGCATAATAAACATATATTCTCCCCCTGTTCCTGTCCTTCCTTTCTTGTGTTTTGTCTTGTTACTACCATGCCAGGCAAGCATTTTCGACCATGCATTGCTCTGAGGTTTATCTTCGTCTAGGAATACACTATCTCTCCTGAACTTTTGTAACGATTTGTTGAAGCATCCTGTAAAAAGCGCTAAAGTAAATAGTTCCAAAGAAAGGTAAAACAACAGAAACTGTGAACAAAACGAAATCGTCGTTTTTCTTCGATGAAACACGATTGAAAAGAGTTTCGGACGTAGAGAGCAACTCCTCTCACTTTATAGGTTAGCCCATTACATCTACACAATCTATAATTTACAATTTTAATATTGCAACTTAGCGTAGTAAACGTTTCAGAAATTAAAGCAATGTCTATATCAAATTCAGTTAAAAAATTTTGAAATTCACGTACTTTATAAGGATGCTAAACGCATTCCAAACTACTAATCGAATGGCTGATTTTAAATGAGTCCGTTTCTCCAGTTACTGCTCTCTGAGATGGAGTGTCTTGAGTTGGATTCGAAATTTGCCTGAGTTTCTGGGATAATAATGTGAGTCTAGAGTCTTTTAAAAGTGTGACTAATGTAGTCAAATTTTCAAAGACTTGTTTAGTTTCTTTTAGAACTTCTAAGTTAAGTCCAGTGGAGAGAGCTTGGGCGTATGATTTATTAACTGCAACACGATCAGAATACAGTTTGGGTTTGGTTTCTTAAATCATTTGAAGTGTTGGGCATCAGCTGCAACGCAAGCCTGATAGCGACGTCGCATGAAACCACCTTTATTTTGAAAAATCCAAGGCGTCTTTCGGAAGGCCACGGCAGTACGCAAACCTGCCTTATAAGATTCTGCTGATTGTCTGCGGATGTATCATACACCAGACTTTTTATGTAACCTCAGAAAAAGCGCTCGAGGAGAATAGGTCCGGCGACATTGCAGGTCAATGTGCGAGACCGCTACGTCTGTTTCACTTTTATCCAAATGTCGCATTTAAATGCACCAAACGTGAGGGTGAAATGAAATGAAGCCACTTATCATGGCACAGTGACTATGAATTTGTTGGTCATTCAATGATTCGGGCAAGACTTCCTCCAAAAAAAATTTACAACATTATTCCGCCAAAACGAACAGGCAAGAGATAACATACCTATTGATCGGTCCACCTCGATTCCGGACCAAACACTAAACGCTGACAACAAATCGATGTTACGCTTGCACCATATTCGCAGAGCTTAGCGGTTTTCTACCGCCCATACATGCGAGACACGTGCTTTCTAGCAACCTTTCCCAATGAAGTGTATCTCGATTTTGAAAAAGACGGAAAGGTCAGCTACACACTTCTGCAAATACCATTGTGTAAAAGCAACTCTCTATAGGTAATCATCACGCTGCGATAGTTGTACACGCTGCTTATAATATAATACAAACGATGTTAGTTTATGAAGTTAGATCCTCCAAACCGTTTTTTGGGAAAGACCGAAGCGGGGAGCAACTGCTGTTGCACTGGCACGTGGAATGTCTTCTGCAGGACGAAGCACCATTTTTTGATTCCAAAGGTCCGTGTCGCCCGTCTCTGATTTCAAGTACGTCTCTCGAAGGAACCTCTATCATATAATCTTTGATGTAGCTGTCCAACTTCTGGATAGTTTGAAATACGTCTCATCGGGCAGCGACCCCTGTACAGACGCACAGCCGCTCTCTCGTTGCAATCAAGAGCTCTATATGCTTAGATGTTCTACTAATTACGCATTTGATAAACTTTCCATCATGCTACTTCTGGTAGCAGAATTTTATTCATATTATTGAATTCTATAATAATCTCATGTTCTTTGTAATGTTTAGTATAATATGAATTAGCATACGTGCTTATTTTCCCACTCAGACGTTCGCTGTTCATCATTAAAGGCATTTTTTTCAGAATTAGAATTAAAAAATTTTGCTAACCGTATCGCATTTAAATAGTGTGTACTAAGTGTATGCTGTTTCAATAATGCCTTTTTTTCTTCCCTTACAAAAGAAATTTTTGGATGAAACCTTGATGGTAAATTTTGAGAAAGAGAAATTTTAGAATTAATACTTTTTGCTACAGGACTTATAATTCTTTTGTAGTATTATGATTTATAATATATTCGATAACAAAATGAATAAATAAATATACTGGTTTTGAATCTACAGAATTTAGCGTAATTATTTGCTTGCATTGTAGTAAAATTATTCATAGATACAGTAATATTTTATTAAATAGCAAGCATAAACGGCTATAACCCGCCATTGGTCAAAATAATAAAAAAATAATAATAATGTTCAGGTATTGGAGGAAGAAAAATTAAACAAAAAATTAAGGGCAATTAAGATTTAAAAACTGCTTTCCTGCATAAATATTTAAAAGAAAAGATTCAAGAAATTCGTATTCTTCAAATATTTATTTCTACTCTTCACTTTTGGCAAGTAATTTTAAAAGAGACGGAGCAATACAGCAAGCTGAGACGTCAAATTCCCATTTAGCATTTCCATTCACATGGCTTGGCCTTAATGACTTTTCAAACATTCTGGACTAAGAAAATAATTTTCAAAGAAGTCTAGTGAGCCCAAAATTTAAACAAATCACACTATATTTATGTTATTAAAATACAATCTTTAATTTAAAATTTACATAATGTGTAATTTAATTTAAATTCCTATTTGCGCACATAAACATGATTCTACACTGCTCACTTCAAATGCAGACATTTTCTATTCCTTTTAAAATATTTTCAATAAGACGAGGAAAAAAAAACAAGGAATAATTAAAAAAATATCACTTGAGTTAAAGATTTGTTGCTTGCAGATTTCACTTGCTGTTCCGAAAACAGGTGGTGAAAAATTTTTCTTTACAGGGAGTGATTTAGTTATAAATACTTTCTGATATATTTAAACTTTTCTTCAACTGACTACAATGCAAAATTCTCAAAAAAAAAAAAAAAAAAAAAAAAAAAAAAAATTCATTTTGTCTGTCTTTTGATCTATTATTAATGCATACATATTACAAAAGTGCATAAGCCAGTCAATACAATTAATCAAATTTCACAGCTGCTTGAGTGACATCATAAGTGTCCATCCAGCCATACTGTTTCTAAAAGGTAAGAATTTTTTCACGATGCAAAGGAGCCATAAAAACTACTTTTTTTTCCATCTTACGGATTTCAAGCTGGGACTCATTGAGTTTAAGAACTCACCAAGATTTTATTCTATTGATTAAATATGTCCAATAAATAAAAATATTTTCTTTCTCTTTTTGAGGAAGTTAAAATTTATTTGCATTTGAATTTAATAAAATTCACAAATAACACTGCAAAATATTATTTTAACTTTGTTCGTTGTTCGTTGTATTATTATATAAGTTATTTTCTCCCTCCTTTCCGCATTTCTTCGTGGTGCGCGTATTCGAGAGGTCCAAGCTTGAGTCTTATCGCAGGCATTGCACATTTTTCGTATCTCCTGTTTCAAAATAACCTAATGACTCTACAATTATTATTCATTTTATAAGTGATACTCATTTATAAAATAAATGATAACTGATTCTTAAGTATAACTATATTAAGTATAATACTTTATAGATTATTACTGACCGGTAGGCATTTCGCATGCAAGTAGAAAACGAAAAGATGTAACTATCTTACAAACCTGTAACCAGTGCAAAAGCGAGTAGTATCTTTGTCACATCTTCTTAGGAATGACTGATAAGCTGGTTTGCAGTACGACTGCACATCTTTAACTGGCAACATAACCACTTGATTTTGAGTGCATACATGCCTCCTGAAAGAAAAAAAAGCTACGATATTTTATTTTCCTACAGCAGACATCCAAAAATTACAAGAAATCTAACATATAAACAGCAGTGAACTTCAAAAGCCAACATTATTTTTTCTGCATATTCGTCCCTCATGTACACTCATGTCCATAAATTAAGGATAATGCAAAATCAGGCAAAGGAAAAGTTAGAAGCAAAACAAATTTGACTTATTTGTAAAGCTTATTTATTAAACAAAAGGTAAAGAGCAAAAATAGATGCTATATGTTTGATATTATTAAAAAAATTAGCGATTTTTCTCCCTGGAGCAAATTACAAAAAAAAAACCTATTTACAAAAAAACAATATTACATGGTTGGTATGATTGTTAATACATTGTTTGTCTCCCAGACGATGCAATACAGTCCGTACAACGACTAGGCTTGCTGAGTTTCAAATTATCGATCTGATCTTGGGGATATTACACCACTCAAAAAGCAATGCTCTGCCGAAGTTTCCGGTAGACATGTAGGAGGAGGTTGACGGGCTGCAACTCGTCGGCCAAGCATGTCCCACACGTGCTCTACTGGATTCAAGTCCGGTGAGAATGCTGGCCAGTCCATACGGGTGATATCCTTCGAAATTGAAGGCATTCGCTTACTATGTTTGCACGGTGAGGACGGCGTTGTCATCCATAAACACAAATTGTGCGCCCATGGCACCCCGAAACAAACGTACATGTTGTTCCAGAATGACGTCCCGATAGATTTGGCTTGTCATGGTTCCAATTTGAACATGCAGGTTAGTTCTGGAACCAAGAATAATTCCACCCCAAACGAGCACTCCTGCACCACCGTAACGGTGTCGTTCAATGATGTTTTTTTGGTGGTAACGGGTACCTGGAGCTCTCCATATGGAAGTCCGGCGAGAATCAGACTGCAAGATAAACCTGGACTCGTAGGAAAACATCACACAAACCCACTGTTGCGGTGTCCACAATGCATGCTCTCTAGTCCAGGCTAACCGCAGGCGACAGTGAGTTGCAGTAAGTGGAACGCATCTGACAGGTCTACGAGCATATAGACCAATCTGCCCTAAGCGTCTGTACACGGTCTGCCTTGAAATTGTCGTACCAGTGGCTGAAGAGAGCTGACGAGACAGGTCTGAGGCTGTGCTCCGCCTGTTTCTTTTGGCAGTAACTGCCAAATACCGGTCCTCATTCGGCGTTGTAACTCTGGGCCGACCTTTGCTGTAACGTCTACTCACATTACCATCATCTTGGAATCGTTGCTAAAGCCTGGAGATGACACTCTGGGCAATTCCAAGTTCGTCTGATACTTCCAGTTGGGAAGTATCAGATGAACTTGGAATTGACGGCATTCCAGACGGCCGATAATTCTACCACGTAAAAAATCATCCAAATGCGTCCTTTGTGTCATAACTATTCGGTTATTGCACTGAAATGCTTATGAAGCGCCTGCAAAACAATTTTACTTCTTTGCTTATATTACTTATATATCATTCTCTTACACTCTCGTCATTTTGACGTACCATCGGTGTCATCTGGTTACTTCCTGAAATTTGCATATGATTCTTAAAGATGTGTGTAGAGATTTTACAGGTGATATATTTATTTTAGAGTTCAATTTCCGTGTGACTCCGAATTATCCTTAATTTATGGACATGAATATACTTGCTCGCTTTATTCTGAGTGAATGCTTGGAAAAAATATTTTTCTTTGAGTAGTTAGATTGCTAAAGATTAGTTATATTGCTAAAGATTTCTTTGAGTAGTTAGATTGCATAATCAAACTGTTCGTGAATTATAATTTACTTCTCTTCCCAATTTTCGACTCGTAGTTCTAAGTGTAAAGGTACATCATAATCAAACGATTATTAACGGTTAAACCTAGAAAAATGGGATTATTATTATTAAGCAAACATGTGTATTAAACTGAACTTTATAATGCATTTACGTGCAATGATGGCCGTCCAAAATGCAAAGCTTTCTTATGTCCCATCGAAAACAACAGCAGCTATTCGACAAGTTTTCGAGCTTGACAGAAAAAGAATAATGGATTATAGAGATTGCGAGATATCCTTCAGAGAAATCAGTGTTCGTTTCGAACAAAATAAAATCACAGTAATTAGAATATTGAATAGGTGCAGGAAAGGCGAAAACACAACAGGAATGACTGCATGAGCCCAAGAACACCACAGATTGAGAGGACAAGCATTCTATGTTCCCGGCACTGACAGATCTCAAAGCGTAAGGCCAAGCGCAAAAGCTACAATTTGTTATACAACAATTGTATCAACATGTACCACTTGGTGTTGTCTGCAGATGAGGGAAATATTTCCAAAGGCGTCCGTACTGCTGCGATTACCACTGTCATTAAGCTGCAAGCATACGCGACTGCAATAGCGTGCTGAATACCTGACAAAGATGAAGTAATGGCACGACACTGTCTTTTCAAACGAATCCTAGGATCTACTCATAACACCTTGATTGTTGTATGACATTTGCATTTAAATTATCCTTGCAGTTGAATCGCCACATCAGTGCATCACGTGGATTTACAGTTTTAAGTGCCACTGGATTTTACTACCCTTTGCACTGCCTACAAACTCAACAGCCACCGGTGCATTTCGAAAGTTTTAGAACTTAAAGTTTTCCCTTATATACTAGGCTTGCCTGCAGCTAAATTTCAACCGGATAATGTGCGACCGCACATGGCACTCAACGCTCAATAGTTCTTCATTATCCACCAGGTAGCAATGTTGGCTTGGTCCTCCCGTTCTTTCGATATGACCTCCATCGAATATATGTGGTCGATAACCACCACCAACATTCAAAGCCACAGGCTTTGGTTATCGAAATGTTGGTTTTTGTGGTGGTTATCGCAAAGTTGACGTGTCACATTTATTGCTACCTATATGTTGGATCGACCATATTTGATACACAAAACACTAATTTTTTTATGTTTCGCAAGTTGACTAGGACTATAATTGTAGTCTAGTTATCCTTCTATTTTTCATTATTTGTCCAGTAAATATGGCTTTGACATAATGGTGCTACATTTTGCAATTATGTAAGCTCATTTAATTCACATTGAGATCGATTGTTTTCGTCATAAAATATTTATTTACCTCTAAAGAATGAAACAATGAAAAACGTTAATTTCAAATACTGAGATAATTGATAATAGGTCTGACTGATTCAACATTCATTTTCTTTCACCGTTTTGATTCACTTATAATCAAGTTTATCTTAAACGCTAGGAATATTCTAGTTGTGCCGTGTTGGTCACACGACACATATCCAAACTGCAATCAAGTTCGGTCTATACCTCGTAGCATGCCCCTCCTACCAAGTTTCTTGATCGAATACCGTCGGATTTCTTCCTTCAGAACTAAGTGTTAAAGGCCATATTTTCATACATATCTTCACTGCAACAGCCTTGGCAAAGTTCAGAAAATACATCAGTGTGTTATGATGAAAAGGGAATGTTTTTATAAGCATGGATCGAATTTTCTAGCTACAAAAATTTAATAATTAAAAATATTTTCCTTGTTTTATACCAACTGCTGTATTGTAAGCAATAAGAATTATTTAACTTATTTATAAGGTCTTTTCTCCCTCATTTTCCCATGGCTTCACGGTACTGGAAGCATACTCGACGCTCATTCAAGAGGTCTAGGGTTCGAGTGCCTTCGAGGGCACTGTACATTTTTCATGTCTTTTGCTTCAAAATAACATAATAACGCTACAATGGGGTCTGAACTAAAAAGTGGTGAAAAATAATTCGTCACTACCAGGATCTGGTGACCGGGTTCCTTAATCCCCATCGCCCTTTAAAAGGATGGCATATAAGGTATTTTTGTCCCTCCTTCCGACATGCTTTTGTAGTGTAACGGTAGCAAACTCGGTGCGTATTCGAGAGGTCCTGGTTCTAATCCCGGGGTAACAATGCTAATTTTTCATATTTTTTGCTTTAAAAAAATAAAAAGAAATAAAAAGGAACTTTAAAAAAGCTGAAAGCTTTCAGATTTTATACTACGTTTTTTTAATGTTTTGTGTGTGTTACCTTTATTTATTTAATATCATGTTTTTCGCACTTCAACTATAAAAGTCAATTCAACAGAAATATCACAAAATATTTAAAAGAGCATATCTTTAGAATTTCCGATACACAGTCTCGCGCGCTGGAGATAAAAATGTTCTTTTTCCCGTACAATGCTGCTACTGCTTGTTTTTGAAATCGTTGAGTTTGTTAATCAAAAACTCATAAGTGCTTTACAAAATATGAAATAGATAATAAAACAAATTTAAAATTCAAAATTTGGGCTTTCAGATGCTCATATTCGGATACAGACACACGTTATTCAAAATTTTATGGCCCTAGGTACAGTTGTTTTATCCCAATGCGAGAAACATACATACATTTATGCAGATTCTTCATTATTTAATTTCTTTAAATATAATACAGGGCTCTAACATTTAGCAACAACAATTTGAAAAGTTATTCGCCATTTATAGTGAATCAACGCAAAATGCCGAAACGAAATTAATAGCCCTCCTGGGCTAACCTCTTATGGGCTAAAACCCTGAAAGTTTTCAGATTTTATATTACGCCCAAACGGGCGTTTGTTTTCCTTTGCAGACACATACACGTCTCAAAAGAATTTGGGCTAATGCCAATGAGCTGAAAATATTTAAAAATAGCATATCTTTAGAATTTCCGATAAACAGTCTAGCGCGCTCGAGATAAAAAAAATGTTTTATTCCCTACAGCGTAGCCACTGCTCGCTTTGAAATCGCTGAGTCTTTTTAATAAAAAATTCGTTAAGTTTTTACAAAATATGAAATAAATAGTAAAACAAATTCAAAATTCAGGCTTCCGAGTGCTATGTTTGGGTGGAGGGCTGCGTTATTCAAAATTCGATGTCTCGAGGAACCGTTTTTTTTTTCACAATGACAGAAACATACATAGGTTCATGCAGATTTTTTACTTTTTAATTTCTCT